CCGCCTGGGCTCACAATATCTCGGTTCATCGCCGCCCCTGGCCTCCTGCTCCTGCGTGTGCAGCACCTCAGGGCTGTTGGCGAAGATGCAGGTGGGGTGCAGCATGGCGCCCTGCTTGGTCTTGGTGTGGAAGATCTGGAGAAGCCGAAGGCGGGCGCTGGGTGACAGAGGCCCTCAGACTTGCTCTTCCCGCTGCCAGGTTCCCTCCTCCTCATCAACTCAAAGTCCCCTCCTCCAGGAAGCCCTCCCTGACCTCCTCCCAGGCTGGTCAGATGCCCCCTTTGGAGGCCTCCAAACTTAGCCCCGCCCACTCTGGGTCTTCTCCGTCTGGGGACAACATATATCAGGGTCTCGGTGAATGTTTGTTGAATGAATGAATGAAAGAGTGAATAGTACTAAACAGTTTGGACCTGTCTAGAGGGCACTGGGGGGCCCACAGAGAGGAGTGACAGGGTCAGGTCAGTGCTTCAGGACACACTCCAGGCTCCCTCTCAGGCGGGGGCCTCTGCACGTGCTGGTCCCATGAATGGTGGAGTCAGGGTCGTCCCCAGACAGGCCCGGTCTGCGGAGGGCTCAGTGGTCGTCCCTGGGGTGGGGGTGGGGCGCACAAGGAGGAGCCACAGCCTCAGGGAGGCCCTGGCCCTGTGCAGAACGACAGTCAGACGGGGTGCCACGCCGCTAGCCTTTCCTGCATCAAGGTGTTGAAGACATTGAAAGCGTGATGGGGTTTCAGGTCACTCTCCAGGGCCACCAGATTAGACACAGAGTCTCGGGCAGCGTCTTCCCTGGGGCAGGGGTGGGGCAGAGGCTGGACCTCCTGGCTTCTCGGAAGTCCAGGCCTCCTTCCCCCCTTGGAGCTTTCGGGGTCCCTGACAACTCTCCATCCCCACCTGCCCCACCCCTTTTCTCCTTCTTGCCGACAGGAAGGTGGTTCAGAGCACAGGCTCCACAGCCAGACAGCGGGGTCATATCCATGCTCTGTGCCTGGTGTGACCTCATCCAAGTACCTCAGTTTGCCCATCTGTAAAATGGGATAACACATTTCCTGCCATTTAGGCCCGAAGGAGGCTTTTGTTTCATTGTGTATTTAATAACAGAGCTGTCTTCCCCGATCTATTTACAAAACTCCCCAGCCCAGCACTCCCTGCCATCCTTCCTGGCTTTATTTTTCTTCCCAGCACTCACTATGCTGTAAATAAACAGGAATCCTTATTTATGATTTCCCGTGTCCGTCTCCCTGACCATAACATGAGCCCCAGGAGGCAGGGACCATGTCTGTTTACTGCGTGTGCCTGAGCCTGGGCGTGGGTCACTGTGAGGCTGTGAGTGGGAGCCTGCATGTGCTGTGTGATTGGGCTGCAGTGTCTCTGCCTGGGTGTGTCCCTGGGGTGGTGTGTGGTTGTGCAATGGTGCTCATGCCCAGATGCATCCAAGTGAGAGTCTGTCTGGGAGTCTGTCTGGGTTATTGGTAGGTTAATGTTGTGTGTGTGTGTGTGTGTGTGTGTGTGTGTGTGTGTGTGTATGTCCGTGGGCATTACTGATCCTGTCTCTGTGTGCAGCTGTGCGGTTGTGTATCAATGTCCATGGCCAAATTCAGCAGTGTGTGCTCTGTATACAATTGTGTGTCCCAGTGAGCGGGATCTCTGGGTGAGCTGTTGTGTCTCTGTCCGGATACATGTGTGTTGTGTTATTGTCCAGGGTACAGTTGTGTGTTCTACCACGTGGCCGGGTAGAGGGGGCAGCCATAGTGCGTGAGTTGCGCATTTGGAGGTGTAGTTGTTGTGACCCTGGCTGGGTAGGGGCTGGGCTGTTGTATAGGGAGAGCCTGGTGTGTTTTTGTGTAGCAGAATAGAGGTTTGTGCTGTTGTGTTGTGTCTCTGGCTCGGCTGTGGTTTGTCTGGATGTGCAATTTGCAGCCAGGTAAGGGGGAGAGCTGTGTGTTACCATTTATGTGTGTGTGTGTGTGTGTGTGTGTGTGTGTGTGTGAGAGAGAGAGAGAGAGAGAGAGAGAGAGTGAGCAAGGGATGCATTCCCAACCCCAGAAGCATGACTACTGCCTCCAGCCTCCTCCACTCCTGGGCAACAGAGACCTCTTTGTTCTCAGTGGCAGAAGGGGGGCGTCTCTCACTCTTCAGTCAACAAAACAGCCTCGGAGCATCTGCCCTGTGCCCAGCCACTTGCTGGGTGTGCTGAGAAAACGTCAGACCTGGGACAACCAGAGTGGTTGGGGCAGTGATGGGGGAGCCCCACGGGGACCCTGGCCAGCCTGCGGGGTTTGGGTGGCCTTCCTTGAGGACAGCATTGTTAGAAGATAATTTTGGGGAAAAAAGGGAAAATCATGACTCATACAGATCTAAAAGCGAAAACATGTTAAAGATTTCACTTAACACTGTCAGGTGTTATAACTGGTTCAAAGGGAAATCAACAAACACGCATTTATAGATCTGGAATATTGAAACAAAAATGCAAATAGAGGCAAAACATTTGGGGGGGGGTCTTATGGTCTGAATGTTTGCGTTCCCCCAAAGATGATGGTATTAGGAGGTGGGGCCTTTGGGAGGTGCTCAGGTCATGAGAGTGGAGCTCTCGTGAATGAGGTTAGTGCCCTTATAAAAGAGACCCCAGAGACATCCCCTGCCTCTTCCATCAGGTGAGGACACAGCAAGAAGGTGGCAGCTATGAAGCAGGAGGAAGGCCCTCACTCAACCATGCTGGCACCTTGATCTTGGACTTTGAAGCCTCCAGAGCTGGGAGCAATAAATTTCCGTTGTGTATAAGCTATAAACTGTAGTATTTTGTTATAGCAGCCCAAACAGACTAAGGGAGAGAGAGAGGGTTGTCCCTCCTAGACAGAATTCATTTGCATGCCTGTTCAGAAGAATTATTTTGTAATTCCATCACTTATCTACAATTTATGGAGTTGTAAAACAGAACTCCATAGAATCAGATAACTCTGAATGGCTTGTTACAGGCTGAATTACGTCCCACCAGAATTCATATGTGAAGTCCTAAACCCCAGCACCTCATAACGTGACCTTACTTGGAGACAAGGTTGTTGCAGATGCAATTACTTAAGATGAGGTCATACTGGCATAGGGTGGGCCCTAATCTAAAATGACTGGGTCCTGGGAATTCCCTGGTGATAAGACTCCGCACTTCCACTGCAGGGGCCATAGGTTCAATCCCTGGTCAGGGAACTAAGATCCCACATGCGACGTGGCATGGCCAATAAATAAAATAAAATAAAGATAAAATAAGAAAATAAATAGGGAAATTTGGACACAGACATGCACACAGGGAGAGTGCCATGTGAAGTGGAAGGCAGATATTGGGTGGTGCTCTTAGAAGCCAAGGAACACCAAAGATTGCCAGCAAAACACCAGAAGCTAGGAGAGAATCATGGAACAAATTCTTTCTCACAGACTTTAGAGGGAACTAACCCTGCTGACACCTTGATCTCTGCCTTCTGGCCTCTAGAACCGTGAAATAAATTTCTGGGGTTTAAGCCACTCAGTTTGTGGTGCTTTGTGATGACAGCCCTAGCAAAGTAATACAGATGTAATATGGAGAAGGTATAGTTTATCACGACACAAAATTTTCCCTACGATACGTTGGAGCTGATTTCTGGAGGATGAACAGAGTCAGGCAGTAGGAGAGGGTAGAAACAGCATGTGCAAAGTCCCAGAGGCAGGTGAGTGGGTGAGGTCCCTGATTCCACGTGGCTAAGGCACTAAGAGAGGGGCAAGAAAGGAACAATGGGACCAGTCAGGGGCAGAGCATGCTAAGTCTTGGGGTTCTTTTGCTTGTTTTCTTGGCCAAGCCCGGCAGCTTGTGAGATTTCAGTTCCCCCACCAGGGACTGAACCCCGGCCAAGGTAGTGAAAGCCCAGAATCCTAGCCATTAGTTCACCAGGGAACTCCCAAGGCTTGGGTTTTTGTTCTGAGGACCCTGGAAGCCTGAAAAAGACCTCTATTTATGGGACACTGACTAGCCCAGCCACATGTTATCTGCTCTACATCAGAGGCTCATTGTATCTTCCCAAGAACACTGAGATCAGAGGACACACGCCAGCAAAAGAGGTGGGGTGAAACTTGAACCATGTCTGCCAAGTGCCCCGAGATGTCAGGGTCACAGCAGGTGAGGACCAGCGGATCAAAGACAGAAGCTGCGGTGGGAAGACCTCGGGCAGAGCTAAGGGCAGGGACTTTATTTTTTCACTGCTGTATCTTCGGAACCTATGACTGCAGGTAGGTACCCAGTACGTATTTGTTAGGTGGTTGTGCCCATCTTCCGGAGGAGGAAACTGAGACTCACAGAAAGGCATCGCGCCCTAAGCCTTTAACTCAGCTGCCAGCTTCCAGCTTCCAGCACTCTCCATGAACACCTTGCCACAGAGAGGACTGGAAGGCGCAAAAGGGGGGGTTGCCAAGCTGATCAGGGCGCCCGGGTGCGGATGCCAGGCTTTAATAAGGCAGCGGGGGCCCTGGAGCGCTCACTGGAAACCCCAGCTTCAGGGGCTGCCCTGAGTACCCCAAATCCTTTCGGACTCGGCCTCGCCCGCGGCCCCGGCCCCGCCCCCCCCCAGGTCCTCGCTGCAAAACCACCGCCTTCACTTGTACTTCCGTTTCCTCCTAGTAGCAGTTGGCCCTGAACCCCCGCCCCGAGAGGCCATACCATTCCAGGCCGGAGGGGGAGATCCGGGAGGGGGCGCGCAAAGGCTTCTCCAGGGACTCCCTCTGCCGGTATGCTCCCTGGCCTCACAGGGCGAGAGGAGGGAGATTTACGTCGGGGACCTCAGGGTGGTGGTGGGCCGTAGGGCCCCCTTCGTCCCTGCTGTGGGGCCTTTCTCCCCTCATCCCCCCCCGGCGTTGGTCCGCTCTGTGGAACGCCCAGTACCAGGCCTCTCTGCGCATGCTCCGCCTCGGGCCTCCCACCTCGCCTTTTCTCGCCGGAGTGCGGATCGGGTGATCGGACTGCGGCGGATGCTCCGGTCCGGAATCATGGCTGTTCCCGTTCGAGTCGTTTATTGGTGAGCACGAGGGCCGGAGGTACCCTCTTCGAATCCCGCCCGGGCCCCGCCCTATCCTAGCGGAGCTGGGCGCTGGGGGCGTCGGGGGCAGGACCCATGGGGATCCTTCCACTGGGAAAAGGATTCCGTAGGGGTGGGAAACAGAGGGCGTTGATTTCTCTGCCCTCCCCCACCCCGTCCCCAGTTTGTAACATTCTAGACGTCTCGGGTCACAAAAGGTAGAACTGCGACACGTGTGTGTTGTTTTAACCCCCCCCGATTCCGGGACTCGGTGTGGGGAGCAGGTGGGGGTCAGTGTGTAATGGGAGAGGAGGTTCCGTCAGCGCCTCGGTTTCCCCTCCCCCAGTACCTGGAACAGTCGTGGGGTGGGGCCGGCCAGAGTCGAGAAGGTTCGAGAAGGTTCCGGCGTGCGTTTGGCAAGGACTTGAATGCATACAGTGGATGCCTTTCGCTACTAACCCTAGTCGTTTTCTGACCTCGCTTTTCCCGTCTGTAGAGGGAGTGATCTTAACGTAACCGCGGAGGGAATACTGTGTGTCGGGTGTTAAACATTTGATCTGATTGTTCCGTTCAGAGTGAAAAAGTGCCAGGTCGGCAGGGAATGTTCTGTCCTGTAGACTGCTTGACCGCCCTGGCACGTAGGATTGTGCTGGCATGCACAGGCATGCTGGCCTGTAGGCGCTGAATAAATACATGTTAAGTGAATTTCCTCTCCCGGAAACCCCTTGAGTGGGGGTGGGGGAGGGTGTGTGTCTAGCTCCATTTTACAGGTGAGGAAACTGAGGCTGGGAGTGGGGCAGTGGCAGGTCGGTAGCTCGAGGTTCAGGCTGCAGATCACAGATTACCCGAATCTGGGTCCACTGGTTGTCATGTCTGTGAGATGTCCAGAGAGGGTTATGAAAGGCTCAGATCTGTCACAGCATTAGCGGTGTCCCTGGCCGCTCGGTCACGCAGGGGGTGAAGTGAAATTTTGAGGCCCGGGGGGGCGGGCCTGTGCAGCAGACTCCAGTTCCAAAATTGCCTCCCGTGGGGGGTTGGGGAGGCGTTTAGATTTCATCCTCGGGCCTGGCAGGGCCTTGGGGATCCAGGAATAATGGTTTCCCTTGGACGGGCGGGGGTGGAGCTGTTATTTCAGCAGTTGTCCTAACCCAGTTCTCTCCATTGCCTCCGCCTCTGCTCTGCCTCATGCTGTGGCCTCTCCTTGTCACCCCTTGTTTGAATTTCCTCGCGTGGGTGGCTCCTTCCTGTGCCCCTGCCTCCCCATCTGTGTGCTGCCCCCCGACACTCGGGCGTGTCTCTCCTCTCTCTTGAGGGTGTCTGTGCCTCGCTTGGTTTTGTCATCTGTGTTCCTCTTCATCTCTTCCTGCCCCCACCCCCATTTCCCTCAATCTCTGCTCCTGCCTCTCCCTGGATCCCCACCGTCTCCCTCTCTCTCCCGGGACCCACTCTCTTGGACACTCTCCCACCAGTGGCGCCTGAGGCTACAAGTCCAAGGTAAGCAGAGTGGTCCCAAGAGGCACCCCTGGAAGATGGGGGAGGGGGGCTAGCTGGCGTGGCTCCTGTGGACCCGTGTCGTGACCTCCCACCGCCTTTTGCAGTATCTTCAGCTTAAGAAGAAGTTAGAAGATGAGTTTCCGGGACGCCTGGACATCGTGGGTCCTGGGGATGGGGAAGGAGTCAAACATGGGTCACGTCCGTTCCTCAGCCCTGGATGGCAGCGGGGGTGGTGTGGGTCAGCCCCACCCTTCGCCCCTGTTCTCCATTCCTTGGGCAACGGCGGGTGTCCCCAAGAGGGCATCTCAGCCCTGCCAACACCTCTCCCTCCCCCCAGTGCGGCGAGGGGACGCCCCAGGTCACCGGTTTCTTTGAAGTGTTGGTAGCGGGGAAGTTGGTTCACTCCAAGAAGGTATGTCTGTCTCTCCATTCTGCCCCATTTTGGGCTAGTGGGGTGTTGGGACTGGGGTTGGCGTCTTGGTCCCAGCTCATCCCTCGCCTCTTTTTCCCTTCTCCAGGGAGGTGATGGCTATGTGGACACGGAGAGCAAGTTTCTGCAGCTGGTGGCCGCCGTCAAAGCCGCTTTGGCTCAGGCCTAATGGGCCCTGAGGGCAGAGGTGAGGGGGACCCAGTGCCTAGACAACAGAATTGATGACTCCTTGTTCCTAATGTGCTCCAGACCCAAGTACTGGTGTCCAGCCCAATACCAGAACAAGTAGCAGTTTCCATGTTGTTCTCTGGACCATAGAACTGCTTTTCAGCGCCCTCTGAGCCTGCTTTTCAATTTTCAAGCCTGTACGTTCTAGATGAGCCCCAAACCCAACCTGTCCTGGAACTGGGCCCTGGTTACTAACCTAGTCCATAACCAAGCTCTGGCTCCCGGCTTTTGAGAGCCTAGAAGCACTTTCTGCTCCCCTCTAAGCTTGAGTGCCAGTTCCCACCTCACGGTGTGCTAGCACTGAGTGTCCTGTGCCAGGATACTGTGGACCCAGGTACCTGCCCCCAGCATGCTTTGCACCAGGAACCTGGTTCTCAAACGCTTTGAACTCAAGTTCCATTTCTTAACGTCCTCACTAGAGCAGAGCGAGGTTGCTTTCAGTGGGAATTTGGCCCCGCAAATTTGAATTAAAGCAGTACAAAAATATGAATGTCTTGCCTCCTGTGCAGGTCTGAAAAGAAGTGGGTCTCCCCAAATTAAAAAAAGAAAATCAAGAATTTCATAATTCCAAAGCTGCATGAGCTGGCGATGTGTGGGCTGTTGCTGTAGTGGGGGTGGAGGTGGGGTGCCACCTTTGTGGGGTTTGAACTCCTAAAGGCAAACAGAGCGCATCCCTTGCATAAACACACCATTTTGTCACCTCCAAACTGTCAGTAACTCAAAGGCATTTGCTTAAATCAGCACAAGGTTTGCTTGGATTCCAGAGGAGTCCACCAATGGATGATTTCATCTGAAATAAGCAAAAATGGGATTTATGTAAGAAAAGAGAGGGGGAAGAATGATTCTTGTTCTCATGGTTTTTGAGTGCAGTTTCAGGAGTCTCAAGACGACCGTCAAGCTCAGCGATTCTCTTGAAGGACTCACAGAACTCAGCAGAGCTCTTTTACTCATGGTTGCAGTTTATTACAGCGAAAGCTTAGAGATTAAAGTCAGTGAAGTGACTCCCTTTAATCTGGCCTCTCTCCCTGTAGTCTGAAGCCCCCTCCCCCCCTTCTCTCTGCACAGTCCAGTGACCTTGGCCCAGCTCCTCTCGGCAGACGCTTCATGACAGGAAGGACTGAAATGTCTCGTGGACGCCTGGTCCTTCCCTGATGTTCTCACGGCTGCCGGTTGGGGTAGAGATGGACACCCCTGGTCTTTGCCTGCGTGTGTGGGAGTGTGCGTGTGTCCCAGGAGTCGTAACTTTGCACGCTGGTCCTGCTTCTTCCTTCCTTCCCCCCTCCCCCCAGTCCCTCATCTCTCTGCACCCCGCCATGTCTTCCTTCTACCCTATGGTGTTTGGGGCGGTCCTGCTCCAGGCTTCCTTTTCAAGGGGAAGCCGAGAGCGGATCCGGCTGGGTGAGTCTCATATTTTCAGCAGTGATTGCAACGGTTCACAGCTCAATAAATGTTGACAAGGTTAACAAAATGTGCCTGTGTCTGCGTGTGTCCATTTTACCCCGGAACCTCCTCCCCCTGGTCTCCAGTCCAGGAAATTAGTGATTTGATATGTACAGAGCTATAACTAACTTCAGGGTTGAACTTTCAGTGGTCCCCAAAGCCAAGGTTACGGTGGTCTCTGGATGCCACCTGGAGTTGCGTGTAACCATCACTGGTGTAAGTCCTCCAGCGTGAAGTGGGTCCCTGGTTGCTGTGTTCAGGAGAAAGCTGGCAGTGATTGGAAGAAAGGTGCTGGGTGGTGTCATAGCTTGTGTTTTGGGGCCCTGTATTTCATCCCCTTCTCGCGTGTATGCCTTACCCCCTTTACCGTCCTCACACTAGAGATGAGCTGTGCGTCCTCACCTCCTAACTTTGGGTTTGATCACATGACTTGCTTTGGCCAATGGAATGAGGCAGAAGTAACGGGGGGGGGGGTCAGGTCTGAGCCTGGGTCTCAAGTTGCCTTGTTCTGCCAGTGTTGAGAACACTGGGAAGTGCCTGGAGGTCTCACGGGCCCACTTCCTGGTATTTCATGTGACAAGACTAAGCGTTAGGGGTGACTGGCCACTTTTGTAAAAACCACAGTTAATTCATTTTTTAAGAACTCCATCTTGACATTATCACAGCTGATTACAGTTGGGATGGAGCCTGAAGATGTGTGTGAGTCACTGAGGTTTTAAAAACTACCTTTAGGATCCATTTTGTAAAGGGTACGTCCTGGCGGGTATTAATAAATAAAGGTATTTTGAAATTTCAAAATTTAAAACAGGTTCTTTCAGAAGTCCTTTCACTGAGGGCCATTATATCTTACATGCATCTGTGTATCCTGAAAAGTTGATTCAGATCATTAAGACATATGAACAAAATTTAGTCTGTATAAAATCCACTAGAATATTTATAAAAGGTGCCCCAAACGGGAGGATGCTATTTTTGTTTTGACGGCTCTCACCTTCATTGTGGGCTGACAAATTGGGAGCTCTAACAGATCTCCTACAAAAACTCTGGAAAATACTGTAGCAAATGAACCATGCCTGGTTATGCCTCAATTCACCCTCTCTGAGCCAGGCCGTTGGGTGGACTGGGTGAGGTGAGGAAATCCACTAGACACTACAAAGAAGCACCTGGATGCAAAAGTCCCATCTCGAAGCTTTCTAAGTTGGAGACTTCTAAGAAACCACAGCTGGAAGAGACCAGTCATTGGGCAAAAGATAAGAGGATAAGTGTCTGAAAATTAGAAAAAAATCACAGCCTCAGAAATACTTTTTTCTTTAAAAATAGCTTTACCGAGATATTACATACCATGCAATTTACCCATTTAAAGTATACAGTGTTCTTTAGTATATTCACAGATATTTGCAACCATCACCACAGTCAACTTCAGAACATTTCATTACCTCAGAGAGAAACCCCCGCATGCTTTAGCACCCCTCCAATCCCCAGCCCTGAGCAGCCACTAATCTACTTTCTGTTTCTATAGATTTCCCTGTTCTGGATTCATACAATATGTGGTCTTATGTGTCCTGCTTCTTTCATTCGGCATAATGTTTTCAAGGTTCATCCATGTCATGATGATGTAGCTGGCATCAGAACTTCATTCCTTTTTGTGGCTGAATAATATTCCACTGAATGGATAGACCACATTTTGTTTATCATTTCATCAGTTGATGGGCATTTAGGTTGTTTCTACTTTTTAGCTACTGTGAATAGTGCTTCTATGAACGTTCGTGTACAAGTTTTTGTTTGAACACCAGTTTTCAGTTCCTTTGGGCATACACCTAGGAGTGGAACAGCTGGGTCAACAGCAATGATTTTTTTTATAACCTTCCTGGCAGAAGGTCATATGAAGACCGTTAGATTCCCTCAGAATTGAGGGACTCTTAATGCTTTTGATGGTCATGAAGTCCACACTTACCTCAAATATAATACAATTCTAACCTGATGAACTCTCAAACCTTGAGCCGCTCGTTCTGCGAGGACAGACATTGTTTCTCCCCTAAGACAAATGCTGATGACCCATGAGACTGTGCCTGTACTCCATGGGTCCATTCCCAGTGACATCTGGGAAAACTCCCATGACAACCATCAATACTAGCGACAAGAAACAAAGACCCCACACGTCTTCATTTGTAATGATTCTGACAGTTTTCTTAGTAAAACAGTTCTTTGGAGGTTTAGATCTAAACCGGGTAGGTGGAGACAGACCACAGAGAGAGGCTAGTGAGCAACTAAGCCTCGATGGAGCTTGATCTTAACCCCACTGGAGTCTGTATGGTGTTATCTTCAGCTCTCCATTTGGTTTAGCCAAGTCACATTATGCCACCACTTGATAATTTAAAAGACAGGGCTTCCCTGGTGGCGCAGTGGTTGGGAGTCCGCCTGCCGATGCAGGGGACACGGG